CCTATACGGGCTTTTCAAGAAGGAGGCAAAGCTGGGGAAGAAAAACAAAACACAAGAAAGACACTGTATGATAAATGAAAAATTAAACTTGTACAAGCTGTGCTTTGGGAACTCTGAGCAATAATTAGAGGTTTTGAAGGGACTGTATCATGAGGAAGGGCTGGAGATTCTTGAAACCTCATTGAATGTACAGGCCTGTGATGCTGAAGACATTGTGCATCAATCTTTTTTTTTATAATTATTAATAGCACAAAAGCTGTTGAAAATGTGAAATATGGTAACCTTTATAACGTTTAATAGAGTGGAAACTGACTCAGGCTGAGTTAAGCAGAAAAGAAAAGGAGTTTATTAAAAACCTTAGGTAGTTTACCAGATCAGTGATAGAGCTGAACACTTATACTTAAGAAAGGAATATTTCTCCACATCATGGTATAGAATTGTTACACATAGATTACGTGTAGCTGCCAGTAGACTAGAAGAATTAACTGTTTTGTTTAATTTCTAAGTGTTTGGTCTCAAATTTTAATTACTAAATGCTATGGTTTGAAGGTTCCTTCCAAAACATATGTTGAAATTTAATTGCTATTGTAACAATGTTGAGAGGTGAGACATTTAAGAGGTGATTAGGTGCTGAGGGTTCTACCTTCATGAATAGATTCATGATGTTCTTATGAAAGTGGGTTAGTGACGATGAGAGTTGTTCCCTGAAAAAAGGGATGAGTTCAGCTTGATTTCCTTACTCACCCTCTCTTTCCATGTGATGCCTTCTGCCTTGTTACAAGGTAGCAGGAAGGTCCTCACCAGGTTTCACCCCTCAGTCTTGGACTTTCCAGCCTTCAGAACCATGAGCCAAACGAACTTTTATTGTTTATAAATTGCTCAGGCTGTGGTATTCTGTTATGGTAGCAGAAAACTGACTAAGACATTGAGACCTTAATACTCATGGTTAGGAAGAATCAGATTTTACTCTTCTTTCGTATAATTCCCATGCTTTCTGTAGAAATTTAAAAATATATATTTCTATAAAATTTTGGACATAATCCAAAGTGCAGAATCTGAACGTAGAATCCTGTCCCTCCCCTAAAAAAAGAAAGAAACTCTGTGGTGCAGTGGGTCATGCCTGCAATCCTAGCACTTTGGGAAGCTAAGGCAGGAGGATTGCTTGAGGCCAGGAATCCACACTCAGCCTAAGCACGAGTGAAACCTTGTCTCTATAAAAAATAGAAAAATTAGCCAGGCATGGTGGCAGGAGAAGTGGTCCAAACTAATTGGGTGGCTGAGATAGGAAAATTGCTTGAGCCCAGGAGTTTGAGGTTACAGCAAGCTATGACGACATCACTGAACTCTAGTCCAGGTGACAAAGTAAGACTCTGTTTCAAAAAAAAAAAATTAATAAATAAAATTCTGTTAAGGAGAAATATTATCTTTATAGTCTTAAAACTTCCACTCTATCAATTTGTCTTCTATTTCTACTTATGAGATTATGTTTCACATATTTATTGCATTTAAAAACTTCCCCCAGGCCGGGCGTAGTGGCTCACGCCTGTAATCCTAGCACTCTGGGAGGCCGAGGCGGGTGGATTGCTCGAGGTCGGGAGTTCAAAACCAGCCTGAGCAAGAGCAAGACCCCGTCTCTACTATAAATAGAAAGAAATTAATTGGCCAACTAATATATATAGAAAAAATTAGCCGGGCATGGTGGCGCATGCCTGTAGTTCCAGCTGCTTGGGAGGCTGAGGCAGGAGGATTGCTTGAGCCTAGGAGTTTGAGGTTGCTGTGAGCTAGGCTGACGCCACGGCACTCACTCTAGCCTGGGCAACAAAGTGAGACTCTGTCTCAAAAAAAAAAAAAAAAAAAATTCCCCCATATACTTAAATATTAAATACTTGGTTAAGCTGATTCCTGGGTATTTTAGTTTCTGTTGCTGTTGCAAATTGTAAGTCTTTCCCATTAAATTACATAAATGATTTTTGATGATGTGGAGAAATGTCCCTGACTTATTGATTTTGTATTTTGCAATGTTGCTTAAATTCCCTAATAGTTATAATATGTTTTTTCCTTTATGGTACTTTATATAGATTATTATATCATCTTGAAATAACTACACCATTATATCCTCCTTTCTAAATGGTAAACTGCTTATTTTCTTCCCTTTTTCTTATTGTTTTTGCTATGTTTTATGAAATATATTGAATGATAGCATATATAATGGAGGTCCTTGTCTTGTTTTTTCTCTTAAAGGAACTACTTCTAAAGACTTTTCCCACTAAAAATGCTGTTTACTGTAGGGTTTGATTTTAATTAGCTGGTCTTCATGTTTTATGGAAATTTTCTTAAATTCTTCATTTTCTAAAAGTTTTATACAGTAGATATGAAATCTTAAGCGGTGTTTTTCTTAATTTACTATACTAATTTCAATATATGAAACTTTAGGTACTACTTTTCTTAATTTACTTGACTTATTATATTGTTTAACTTCTTTAGTCAGTGAATTTAGTAAATTACTGTAATAGATTTTCTTTTTATAAAAGCCACTTTATGAGTATGATTTACTTATAAAAATTCTCTACATTTTAATGTATACAACTTGATGAATTTGGAGATAATTATATCTATATGAAACCAATACCACAATGCTATAAATCTATGTATCCCCCTCTTGTCCCCTTCATTAATTATTATTATTACTTTGTGCTAAGACCACCTAACATAATATCTACCCTCTTAGTATTTTTTAAGTACATAGTACAGTATTGTTGACTATATGTACTATGCTATACAGCAGATCTCTATGACATATTCATATATATTATCTAAACATTATGCCCTTTAACAAATATCTCCACAATAGCCCCCTCCTTCCAGCACATGGCAAATACCATTCTAGTCTCTGCTTCTATGAGTCTGACTATTTTAGACTCCTCATATAAGTGGTATTATGTGGTATTTATCTTTCTGTGTCTGGCTTATGTCGTTTAGCATAATTTCCTCTAAATTCATGCAAGTTCATGTCACGAATGGTAGGATTTCTATTTTTAGGGCTAAGTAATATTTCATTGTATGTGCTGTTAAAAGAAAAACTTTAAACAAATTAGATTTAACAGGGTTTATTGGAGCAAACAATGATTCATGAATCATGTAGCACTTAGAACCAGAAGAGTTTCAGAGAGTTCTACTCAATAACATGATCAGTGAGCTTTTACAGGCCAAACATAGAAGACAAGAAGAGAAATCACCTGTTTGGCTACATTTAGGCATCTGCCTTATTTGGGCATGGCTTGATCAGTTGGCTGCCTGTAATTGGCTGAAACTTGGGTCTTTGTGATTGGCTGAAACTCAAGGGTTTGCTATACCCTAAGCTAGGTTTTGGATTGTTTATATACAGCATTAGGTTATGGTTCACTATGTAGGAACCCAAAATAAGGAGACAGCCTTAGGCTAATGTCTTTCTGTTTATTTAATTTGACAGTATACATATCACAGTTTTTAAAATCTATTCATCCATGAATAAGCATCTGGATGTTTTCATCCGTGCCTATTGGGAATAATGTTGCCATAACATGAGAGTACATATATTTCTTCAAAATCTTGATTTTAATTCTTTTGTATATATACCCCGGAGTGAAATTGCAAGATCAAATGGCAGATCTATTTTTAATTTTTTGATAAACTTTTATACCATTTTCCATAGTGGCTGCATCAATTTACATTCTCACTAATAGTGTGCACAGTTCTCTTTTCTCTATATCCTTGTCAACATTTGTTATCTTTTGTTGTTTTGATAATAGCTATCCTAACAGGTGTGAGGTGGTATCTAATTATGGTTTTTATTTGCATTTCTCTGATGATTAGTGATGTTGAGCAGCTTTTCCTATATTTGTTTGCCATTTACATATTTTCCTTGGATAAATCTCTATTCAGGGTGTTTTTTGTTGTTGTTCATTTGTTTTTGCTTACTTTTTCATTGGGTTTTTTCTTCTATTGAGCTGTAAGAGCTTTATGTGTTTATATATTGACCCTTTATCAGATATATGCTTTACAAATATTTTTTCCCTTTCTATAAGTTACCCTGTTCATTTTTTTTTTTATTGTTTTCTTTGCTGTGCAGAAGCTTTCTAGTTTTGAAGTAATCTCAGTTGTCTGTTTTGTTTTCCTTACCTGTAGTTTTGGTGCCATATCCAAGAAATAATTACTATGGCTAATATTTTAAAAAATTCTCAATATTTTCCTCTTTTAGTTTTATGGTTTCAAGTTATTTAATTATTTATGCCTTTCAGTTGATTTTTATGTATTGTGTCCAAGAATGGTTCAATACATTTTTTGCATATGTATATGTAGATTTCCTAACACCATTTATTGAAGAAACTATATTTTCTCCATTATCTATTCTTGGCATTCTTGCGGTAAATCAGTTGACCATCTATGCATGGGTTTTATTTTTGGGCTTTTTATTCTGTTCCATTTGTCTGTGGTAATGTCAGTATCACAGTGTTTTGATTAACATAGCTTTGTAATTAATATCAGGAAGTGTGATACCTTCAGGTTTGTTCTTGCTCAAAATTGCTTTAGCTATTTGGACTCTTTTATAGTTCCATATGAATTTAGGATTTTTTGTTTGTTTCTGTTAAAAAATACTATGGCAATTTTGACAGGGATTTCATTGAATTCGTAGATCCCTTTAGGTAATATGGACATTTTAATGAACACAGATTTCTTTTTCCTTCTTCACAATTCCACAAATAGGAGATCTATTCTTACTGTTGATCTTAGCAACCTTAGCTTATATATACATTTTTATTTCTTTATTAAGTTGAGAAATTTTACCTTTTCACTTAAGGAAGTACTTTATGACTTCTCTTTGGCATATCCAAATTGAAGTCACTACTCTTGCACATTGGGGTCATTATTAAGTAAAATAAATGTTACTTAAACACAAGTACTGTGATACCACAATAGTTGATCTGACAACCTATATAGCTACGAAGTGGATATGGGCAGATGGCATATACAGCCTGGACATGCGGGACAAAGGGATCATTCATGTCCAGGTAGGACAGGGTGGAATGGACAGTGACAGCAAGAGGTTTTATCATGTTACTCAGAATGTTGCGATTTAAAACTTGTGAATTGTTCATTTCTAGTATTTTCCATTTAATATATTTGGACTATACTTTACCATGAGTAACTAAAACTGCAGAAAGTAAAATTGAGGATAAGCAGGGACTACCGTAATGTTAACCTATGACAGGAATATGATCCCTTCAATAAATACAACATAGAGATATGCCTGTGCTCCAAAACATGATAGAAATTTTAAGCTGCTTATCCCAATGTTATATATTTGAAATTTACAAACCAGACAAACAAATTCATTCATTTCACTATACAAGAGGCCTTATAAGGTACTTCATGGTGTTTAGCAATGTCTGTTCCATTCTAGAAAAAAGTTTGACTTCATCACCATCTAAAAAAATTTATTCATTTCTGAGTCAGATTTTGACAAATGTAATTATCAACATGAGGTTCTGCCATATATATAATCTTCTTTTTTTCCAATTATAAAACAATTGTATGTATGCATTATTTATGTTTAGAATCTTCTGAGTAGCCAATTGCAATGACATGAAGATTTAAGTGAAGGAAGTGAATCTGTAAATTAGTCACTACGCTTCAGATAAGAAGACCAGGTTGCTTATCTACTGATATCAAAATAACTAACTGGGTCACTGAAAAGAAGCATTTGGAGCTACATGTCAAGGATTAGAAGCTAAAAATAGAGTGTTCTTGCTTCTAATTATAGCAACTCTCCTTCTCTTCCATACTGATATCTTGGAGCCATTTTGTTCTAATTATTTTGTCTACTAATATCTAAGGAGGATTAACATAATTCATGAGAGAATGCGTTCTGCTAGGGCCTAGATAGGAAAAATGATCAAACAACAAACCTCAGTTTAAATCAAGTATTTTAATCATTATGTGCTATTTGAGTTAAATGTGTTTCCTTTTATTAATCAGAGAAATATTCGATGTAAGGATCAGAGACTTCTGTGGTTTTAGGTTAGAGTATTAAGACCTATGTTAGAAAATGTTAAAGAAACATACACAAAATGGACAGCTGAAGGTTTTCAGCATCAATGATTTTATTGAATAAAAAGAGATTCTCAAAGGTAATGATTATCAAATTTTTATAATGGATCCAAACTACGTCTGATAATTTTCTGGCAAACTAAGATAATCTCAAAGGACTCCATGACTTTAGAAAATGTCAAAGTAATGAGAATCTAAATGAGATGGTCCAGTTATTTGAAATTAAATTATACAATAGTTATAATTTTAAGACTATAAGCTCCAAAATGCTATCAAGTAGCTTTATGAATTATAGAAGATGAAAGAGGATAAAATAATACATTGGAACTGAAACTGATTATTTCTTAATCTTACTCTCTTTGTTAGACACAAGCAGCATATGCTGGTTATAATATTTAATGAGTAAAGCTTGAGCTGTTATAATCCCAGCTTCTATCTTTTCATGAAGCTACTTATCTCATTATAAATCTAAACTCCAGTTGTTCTACTGTGGGATTCAAGGGGAGGAAATCAGTGTTACGTGTATTAATTGAAGTTTACGGAGGGAGCTTTAGTATATAGACTAAGTGATGTTACAAGGAAAACTGTATACAAATAAAAGGTACTTTTCATTTCTATACTATACATGAGCATATTTTTGGATGCTAACATGATTTGGGAGGCAAAGATATCTTAGAATTTTTTTAAAAAATTTACTGTAATGTATGAAATTAAAGTTTCAAGGTTTTCCTTTCCCTTACAAAGAAAATCTATGTATCCCATAGACATGGCATAGGAAAAGGTGTATAAAGTTTACATTCAATCAGACTTTGTTCACTGGAAAGGCATGCAAAATAAATAAATAAATAAATAAATAAATAAATAAAACAAAGAAATTGATTTTCTTTTTTTTTTTTTTTTTTTTTTTTGCTACTCTCTCTGTTTTGTATTCATTCTTTTTACCTATAATTTAACAAATATTTGTGAGGCATGCCTCGGGTGATAGGTTCTGTGTGAGGCACTTACCCCTTCTATGCAGTAGCTGAGCATCTGTGAACAGTTACATAACTTCTCCAAGCCTCAGTCTCTTCCTTTTTGAAAAAAGTTGAAATAATATCATCAGCATCATCAAACTTTGCAAAGACTAAGTGAGAGGATAGGTGTGAAGTAGACATAACATGGTAGCACTAAATGAATTAATAGCCATTACTTTTTTACCTTAATAATTTTAACTTGAAAGCATTGAATTGTACTTCTTTCACAGTGCTTACTTCTAGCAAATTTATTACTTCATTCCTTCTCTTCATATTCAGCTCCTTGAAAGTAGCTTTGGCTGTCAGTGACTAATTCTTTCACTTGTTATTCATTACTTAAACAGCAAACTATCACAGCACTAAAATTTTTTCTATTTTTTTGTTATAATACTCTGTTTGTAAATTCTAGCTATTACTTCTTAGTCTTAATTCTTCTATGTGGCATTTGACATCAACCCATTGACTTGGTGCTTAAGCACATCTTCATCCAGTGTATACTTGATACCATTACTAAATCGAATCCTGGGAATACAGTGATACATACTTTGGATGCTGTGTGGGTGTTCACGGATTTCAGAGTCTGGTTTAATCCATGCTTCCTAGAGTTCTTCATTTTTGGACCTCATAAAACTTCTACTTCCTCTTGATTCAACTTTCCTTTTTTGGTATTTTTTTAAACAAACTTTTTTTGATGCAAATAACATATATACAAAGAAGTGGAAAGGTCATTAGCATATAGCTAGATGAAGTTCGAAAGTGAACACACTAAAGTAGCCACAACACACAAAAAATAGATTATAATTATTTCAGAATTCATCCTTATTCAACCCCTATATAGTTCTCCAAAAGCTAATCATTATCATGACTTCTAACACTTTGGATTAATTTGTCTGTTTTAAATTTAAATCAATGGTACCATGGAGTATCTAATCTATTATAACTCCAGGCAAAGGAGAAATAAGAGTAGTGTAAATTTTCTAGTTATCTGAGATGATATCTTCACTTGTTTGTCTCTATCATCTTGTCTTTTTTATTTTTGTATTTTTTTTATTTGAGCATATTATAGGGGTACAAATTTTAAGGTCTATCATCTTGTCTTAACACCCTCCCCCATAATATGAGTTGCCTATATAAGATAATAAATTATCTTTTATTGGAATTCCCTGAGGACTTATTTTTTTAATTTTATTTGACCTCTTGTATATAATGTTTTCTTCTTTTTATGTAAGAGAGAAATAAAATCTTAGGAGTCATGAAATAATTTTTCTTCATTTTCAAATATAAAAGAGTTGAGAATGGGTTCAAGAATAGCATTCCCACACCCCTTCTTTATGGGACAGAGTTGGTCTCAAGAAATGAACATTTTCTCATATTTTCTTATGTTTATTTCATTTAGATAAACTTAAATGTGTGTATTTTAATAATAAAGATTGCAGATATAATTTATTGTTGATATATAATGGTTAATATAATTATCTGGAAAAACTGCAGAGGGAAGTATATTGACATCAGTATTTTTTAATAATTAAGTATTTGATTTATAACTCTCAAGTAGGATATTTCTAATTAATATGATATAATTTTTTTTCAAATTGTTTTAATCTATCAAAAGGATTTATATGTTACTGAGGAAGGACCAAATTTACATTTAAATTTTAAGCAATGAAAGTCTTTTCTTTTTCAATTTAAAATAGGTAACAGTGGAGGAGTTCTCTGACTGAAGTTGGGAGTTTAGTATCCCAGAGGTCAGCTGGATTACAAGACTTGCCATTTGATCCTGGCCACTGAGTTACACTTGTGGCACCCACAAAGTAGTTTATAAACAACTATTTTGTATTACTAAGATGGCGGTGGCAATTGGAAATGAAGCCTGCACATTCAAAATTTTTTCTCTGGACTATGTTTGTACTATGTAATCCAGATCCACTTACTAATGGCTGAATGGATTGTCAATGGATCACTAACTCAACTGGAAACAATCAAGTTACTGGTCAGTAAATAATAAACTTCCCTTACATGGGAATTCTCAGAGGAAGCCTATTTTGACAATGGCCACTACAGCAGAAAAGTCATTAAGTTAGGGCTGGTGACATTATTAGGCCATGTCTAAACAGAGAGTACTAAGAAAAAGAATGTTTAAAGGTAAGGGGATGAAATAAACTCTACTACTCTAGAGTGAGACAAACAAAAAAAGAAGTTGTGTGTAAGATAATGTTATTTTACAGGTGGGCTGAATAGTTCTATATTTGTCTGTGGGTATGTCCCAAAGACTGGCACTCACCCTTTTCCACAATAAGGGCATGAAGGACTAAGCTAGTAATTTTATTATGGCATCTAAAGTTCAAAAACCTTCTAGAGATACTCAGAACTAGTTGTCCACATTGTTTACATATGTACAGATTGATGGCTTATATCTCATTTAACTAGTTACATAACCTGACTTAGATATGTGACCAGCAGGGTACAGAACATCCTGCTAGAAAGCTTTTGCCTGACCTCCCCTGAAACCAAGATAACCTGCACATAACTTGCTGCTTCACACACCAAAGACAAAGTGTGTCTCATGTGAATAAGATCCTAGGGAGCCTCTCCTAGAAGGCTCTCAGGTCTCTGATGGTTGCCTATTGTCTTAGTCCATTTGTTCCGCTATAACAAGACATCTGAGACTGGGTAATTTATGAAGAGCAAAAATTTACTTATTACAGTTGTGAAGGCTGGGAAGTCCCAGGTCAAAGTGTCAGTAGGATTGGTGTCCCTGCTTCCAAGGCAGCACCTTGGGGTGCTCTGGGGTGGAGGAATGTTGTGTCCTCACATGGTGGAAGATGGAATGGCAACCTTGAGCCTTTTTATAAGAGTACTAATTCCATGACTTTGGGAGATGACTTAATCATCTCCCAAAGGCTATACTTCTTAATATTGTTGCATTGGGGGGTTAAGTTTCAACAAAACTTTTGGAGGGTGCACTATCGAACATAGCACCTGTCCTTTCTTTGCCTCGTTTAACCATATCCTTTACTTTTGTTAAAGTCTTACAATAATATGTTCTGAAAATCTCAGAGTCCTTTTAATTATCTGAGCCTATGCAAACTCACATCTGCTTTGGATCACAATAGCTTCCCAGTTTTTAAGATATTATAGTGGTACAAATGTTTAGGTTACATATAGTATCTTTGCCCCACCCTCCTGAAGTCAGAGCTTCAAGTGTGTCCATCCCCCAGACAGTGCACATGGCACCCATTAGGTGTGAATATACCCATTCCCTCCCATGAATGTTACTACCATATGTGCATGTAAGTGTTGATCAATTAGTACCAATTTGATGGTGAGTACATGTGGTGCTTGTTTTTCCATTCTTGTGATACTTCACTTAGTAGAATGGGCTCCAGCTCTATCCAAGATGTTACAAGAGGTGCTAGGTCACCATTGTTTTGTAGTTGAGTAAACTCCATGGTATACATATTGCCTGTCCTTGTCATCCATTTCCAAACAAACATAGTCTTTAAATAATTTGAGTATATTTATACTATTGCAACCAAAGACTTTACTAGAGTAAAAACAATAAAAATGTGCTGTTGAGCAAGACCATAATATGTCTTGCCCAGGAGAGTAACAAGGATCAGACTGTTAAAAATTTGAGTGTTTAGTCTCCAGATGATTTTAAGCTCTATAAAAGGCAACTGTAGAGGAAATGGATCTGTGTTCATAGCACTGGAAACCAACTCAGTGTCAGGACTGCCCAGTTAAAAGAGTATTCAAAGTTGAGGGGTGGACTGCAGAGTTACTGACTACAAAGTTCAAGGCAGAAATATTGTTTAATTTCACCATAGCACAGAATCACTTTTCTTTCCCCCTAGATGAGACTTTGGTCCTGCTGATATTGAACATGCTATTCATAAACTAGGAGATCCTGTTGTGTGTAAGTAATCCCATTAAATGAAGGAGCATTACTGTTTGTGTAAGATCTTTCTAAAAGATAATACAAACTTTGAACAAGAAAGACAGTTAGGAAGCAAGAGCTATTTCCACAGCTGGAAAGAGGTCCCCTGCTGTGACAGTGACAGTAGCACAAGTGGGACCCTCTTTATGATCTCTGGATGTCTAGGAGACAGCTTAAGTTTTGCAGTGATAACGTGACTATGTGTCAGCACTCTGTGGACATCTGTTTTCTGAAAATATTTTGTATTTTTCACTAATTAAATAAGATGCAGACAGACAGCTTAGTGGAATGTTATGAGTGACCAGAAACTGATTTAGAATTCATAGAATTATTGCAACTGACAAATGCTTCAAGAGTATTATTTAAAAACCCTCTCTCTGTCTCATTAGATATCCTGTCTTTTCTCTACTCCACTTAATATTGACAGGATGAATTGTGATGTCTAAAGGATAGTTCTGACAGCCATCAAATGACATTTTAGGATAGACAACAATGGTCCTTGGCATGTTCTTTCACCATGATCCCTGTGATTCACTCGGGTATCTTGACATCCAGCCTATCTCTATCAGTGTGCCATGCTACCTCCCTAAGGCTTTTGAGAACAATATAAACCTCATCTATTGAGTGTGTCCTTTTGTGAATGTCATCCAAATACAGCCATGTGTCTGTGACTTTCCTGTCAATAATTAGCTAATTTTATAAATAGTTGTAATGTACTCCTGGAAAAATATCTACATTACCATGAAAGACTTGTGTCCTTCCAGATAATGGAGGCATTTTCATATTTGCAATTTTAGATGATAGTCCCAGTGTTTAGGTTCAATGTCATTTATAATTATATGATAAACTATTCAGAGCAGTGAAAAGGAGAAAATGATGCTAAGACTAGAGGGCATTAGGTTTAGGTAAGTGGATTATGAGATCCTAGATTACTGCTGTTTCATAAACTCTAACATTATATGAGATCTAGTTTCTTGCTCCCATACTATTAAATTTACAAAATAATACCAAGAATTGCATGAGTAATTCAATCTAATGAATGAAGATTGTAGGAATGTGAGAGAAGATATTTAATAATAGGCCTCCATTGTTTCTGAAGAAAGTTAGGTATCACTCTTACTATGGTGACTTCTTTTCTCCAGATGTGTAAAAATACTCTAATGTCTTTATCTTTGGCTTTCAGCAATTTGTCTCTAAAATAGCTACATGTGGTTTCTTTTTAAAATTGTTCCATTTGAGTTTTTCTGTGGTACTCAAATTTGTAAAGTTGTTTTATATCAAATTTTGAAAATGTATGACAATTGTTTCTTCAAATTATTTTGACTTATTCTTTCTCTCCTAATCTCTGGGACACCAAGGTCATGTATGTTAGACCATATGATACTCTTCATTTAAAGAATAATATGTGCTAATATATTATCTACTTGGGAATATAACATAATATCTACTTGGGAATATCTTTGAGATTTGGCTATGGAATTCAAGTCCTGCCTCTGCTTCTTAATCATCCACTTTCTGTCTATGTAATTATTTGCAAGTCACATAGGAACTCCCAGAGCTTAAGAGTTTTTGTGTTGTCATTTTTATTCTGTTAAATGTTGTAGGTAAGATCTACTTTGTGGGTTGTTGTAAGAGGTATATAAAATTGTATGTGATTTCTTATAAATACTTGATGCATTATAAGTACCCAATAAAAGTTAATTTTATTGTGGAGTATTGCTAAAGCAAACTGTCTTCACAAAAGGTACAAACAGCTATATCTGGTAAGCTTCAGAAACTTTGTTAGTCATAGATGGATTTCAAACTTTCCGTTGTAACCAGCTTGGTTCTGGCTACAAAGCAGACACCCCGTTTTACCATATAACTTCAAAAATCAGTTGACTGGCATTCACATTGCTGATAGACTGATGAAAAAAAATCAAGAAAGTAAAACTACCTCAAATTACTCAGTTACAACGTAATCTCTTTGTCATTCTTCTGACTGGGGCTGCTAATAGAGAACACATTTAAACAAAACAAAACAAAACTCTTAAGTGGAAGTTAACTAGAAGGGCTGGTAACTGCAGGTGAGAACTGACTTTGACCAGCTTGTCAGCCATCTTTACCATCTTACATGAACTCTGGCTAATTACATATCATTTACATTGTAGTTTTAAAATTTCTCCACCCTTCAAATCACCAAGATAGTTCCAAGAGAACCACAGAAAGTATGAAAATGGGAGGGAACCCAATTATAGGAATTATGATCCAAATTCTTAGTAAAAGCTGTCAATGAAAAAAAAAGCCAAAGTCTGTAAAATAATTTTAAAGAGATTTATTCTGAGCCAAATTTGAGGATCATGACCCGCAGCCACTGCCAAGAGGCCTTGGGCAAGTGGACTCGCTGTGGCTGGGTTATAGTTTGGTTTTTATACATTTTAGAGACAAGGGTTACGGGTAAAGCCATCAATCAATGTGTGGGAGGCATACATTGGTTTGGCCCAAAAAGGAGGGCCATCTTGAAGCAGGGGGCTTATAGGTTATAGGTGGGTTTAAAGATTCTTTAGATTGTAATTGGCTAAAGACATGAAGCTTTGTCTAAAGACCTGGAATGTTTTAACATAAACTGTTTACCAGAGGTAAGCCACCATTTGTTGCAAATTGAACCCTTAGGCCTGTTAATGGGTTACAAAGGAAGTCTCCAAGAAGGGAGGGGGGCATGATAAGGCATGTCTGACCTCCCTCCTCCTGGCAGGCAACTTTGCCCTAGAATATTTCTTTGGCCAAGAGAGGGTCTATTCAGTCAGCTGGTGTGTGTGTGTGTGGGGGGGGAGTGAGCATTTTAGTTCACATGGCAACCTCTTGGCCTTAAAATATTCCTCCCCTCAATTAATAAGACTACAAAAGATCTAAAACCACTTCCTCCTACTGTAGCTGCTCTCTTTTGAGCCTGCTACTCTGAGAGTATATTTTCACTTCCAATAAAAGCTGTTGCTTGCTTGGCTGAAATTCTTTTCCCAACAAACACCAAGAACTTGGAAAAACCTCCACTTGTAGGCCAGTAACAACTTTATAATTTATTTTTTGATACTTATGAAATCCCAGTTTAAGAAAACATCTTTACAATGTAAGAATCTCAAAACTTAAAATAGATATTTATTCTTAAAAAATGATTTTTCACTTTACAAACTTGCACTTTGTAAATTTATTTAAGCAATTTGTATTTTAAGAAAAAAGAAAGAAGAAAAATGATATTGGTTTACTTTATATATATAATATGTTTGTATTAAAACAAGTTGCAGCTATAACATTATACAAACTCAATTAATTTTGTTGAAAGAAGAACCCTTTACTATATTTCAGTAAAAAGAGGCATGGTTAGAAATTGATTATTTAGAAAAGATATTTGGGGATAAAAAAGTAATAACTAATAAGAGTTGTTCAAAGCACCTTTTTAGAGACATGTAAAAGTAAAAATAAGATTTATGTATTTTTGCTGACAGCTCTGCAAGATTGAAAATTAAACAATCATAAACTAGAGAATTTCTATCATTCTAATCTGGTTAGAATTTGCCATAAAAATGTTTTCTGCTATAAAAAGAAATATTTTCTGTTTAATCAATATTGGATCTCAAAGTTTGTTTTAAGTGGTCCTCTTGAGATAAAAATGTGCTTGTACTTTTTAATGCAGAAAATAGTTGAGCCTTTTGTTTCTCTCTCTTTTTTTTTTTTATTTCAAGTTTGACGTTCTGCAACCCATGACTAAAGATCTTCTGGTTCCCTTCCTGGTAATCTATATATGTGCCTCAAGTAGTGGACTTCTTGAAAGCTCAGAGGATAATTTTATGGGAAAAGATATTCACAGGTACTTGAAATGGAGACTTATCGTATTACTTTGTTATAAAGGACTTAGTGTTAAATTTGGTGGTAATTGTATAACTACACTTAAATGTTAATTATAAGGTAGTTACAAATATGAAGAAAACAGACCACCTAATTAACTAACACATTTCACAAAAAGCCCTTATTTGATAAATATAAAAACTTTTATGAAGGCTTAAAATAAATATTGATGAATAAAACATATATAACATATACATAATTATGTTTTTCTAAAGCCAACATATTTAAATTAGTGTTCAGAGGTCATCATTTCATAAGAATAAAAATCATTTATAAGAAAAATGTATAAAATATATAAAAAGATATAGGGCAATAAAAATGGAAAATTTAAATTTAAATTTTAAAAAATCAACAAAAATTACTTTGCCAATCAATTTTTAAAACTCTAATAGAGTTAAGATAAGATGAATTAGGATATATTGTATTATTGATTTCTGCCTTTCAAATTGGTATTTTGTATTATCTATAATAGAAAAATAGTGTCCAAAGTTAAAAATTGTAATTATGTTAGTATTTTTAAATGCATTAGTGTACTAACCTGATAAAGATATCTTGGTCATATACCACAGAACCACAAATATTATTTTCTGAATTTTTGTGTACACAGAATGATTCCTAAAATCTTTTAGCTGTTTATTGGTATATGAGAACATTGAGTGAACTACATTGATATGATGCCCACATATTGCTACATGTAGCATAAAAATAATGCTTTTACTAGGATATTGTGTTTCTTTTTTGTTTTCTAGGTCTATTTGTAGTCACTGAATCAGTCTTAAACATCTAACTCTATTGCACTAAAATTTTCATTAAAAAGATATATTTAGTTTATTGGACAGTAATTGTTAGTATATTATGGTTGGATTTCATTGTAAAATGCTATATAATGGCTCTAACTTTGGTATATATAGATCTATTCTTCTAAAGGCTAACAATTTAATTCATCAGTTTTTAATTTTTGTGCTTATGGAATGCTGTTATTTTTTAATAGAACTATGTTCCACTACTAACATTCATTAAAGCATTATTTGCACAATTCAAAAAATAATTAAATATATAAATATAAGTTTACCTATTATGAGTTTTTCCCCACATACTTTTAAAAATTCATTGTTATGACTAGTAAGTCTGATTAGAAACTATATTATGAGCAGAAATGGAATTTAGATCAAATATTTAACTTATTTCATAGTAAAAGTTTAATTTATTCAAATTTAATTTTAATTGATTTATTTTTAGTATACTTGGCAATGTTCCTCAAAGGAAATAAATGGTTTTGACTTACATAGGTATTTTTCATCTGATTAATGAAACTTTACAAGTTGAAACGAGGGATTTTGGTCTTGTACTGTCATTGTATTTCTATTATAGTTATCATTAAATCTTCAAAATAACTGAATAAGTTATTAGTATTCCTGTTTTATAAATTTGGAGAATTAAGTTTTGAGAGGTTATGAAATTTGCCTATGGTCTTATTGTTAATAAGCTGTGAAGTAGAATTTAAACTTAAAACCATTTGCTTAATACTGCAACAAGAATAAGCATATTACAAAATGAAATAATATTTGAATCTAGGTATGTAAGGGCTACTAGAGAGGGTAGCTGCCATGGCAACACAGCTCCAGTGCTAACTAGTATTAGCATTAGGAAGATTACTTTTGCCCCAAAGTGCTGTGGTGAGAGTTCAGGGACAGGCAATTTGAGATATTATGAATTTTTAATATTATTTTTATATTTTAATAGTTTATTATTTTTTAAGTTTTAATATATTGTTAATATCTTAATATTTTTAATAATATGTTTATATTATTTAGAAATAAATTTTTCCAATTTATTTTATATATGGCATTTATACTGTTTTTTTTTTTTTTTTTTTTGAGACAGAGTCTCGCTTTGTTGCCCAGGCTAGAGTGAGTGCCGTGGCGTCAGCCTAGCTCACAGCAACCTCAAACTCCTGGGCTCAAGCGATCCTTCTGTATCAGCCTCCCAAGTAGCTGGGACTACAGGCATGTGCCACCATGCCCGGCTAATTTTTTCTATATATATTAGTTGGCCAATTAGTTTCTTTCTATTTATAGTAGAGACGGTGTCTCGCTCTTGCTCAGGCTGGTTTCGAACTCCTGACCTCGAGCAATCCGCCCGCCTCGGCCTCCCAGAGAGCTAGGATTACAGGCGTGAGCCACCGCGCCCGGCCCATTTATACTGTTTGATGCCTATCTCTAATGTATATCTCAGTACATGATGAAGTACAGAAGTTTAGGGTAGTGGTTAGAGGTAAATGATTTTAGAGACAGCCTGCACTCAAATCCTAACTCCTAATTTTCTACCTGTGTAAATTTCAACAAATGATTTCTTAATGGTGTTTTGTATCTATATTTTTGTCTTCAATATACCAGAAATACTTTCCACTTCACATGGTTATTGTGAAAAACAATAAAACATACAAACTACTTAAAGTATTTCCTCAATTCATGGCAATATTAGTGTGATTATTTGATGGCTTATTACTCTGACCCCCATTTGTTTCTATTTAGAGACAGAGAGCTATAGAGAGAAATGAAAAGACACTGAATCAATAGCTTATTTGAAGAGCAAAAATTAAAAATTAAGTCTCCCATACTAATTCCTTGCTCTGCTCACTAAATTAGAATATCTACCCAATCAAAGTTGTCACTGCCGTGGAAAGTGAGTGACCTCTTCATAGACAGCCACCTTGGATTCCCAGCACCGTCTGTAGCCAGTGGTGAAGGACAGGCTGCACTGAACAAATCTGCTGGCAACCATCACTGCGACTCCCTTCACCTTTTGAGCATTTGAGAGAAAAACTGATAATGAGTAAGAAAGCAAATCAATGTGAGTCTAATCTAAACTTAAGGCATGGAATTAGTCTTTAGCTGGACAAATCATCCTATGTACTCTTCGAGAGACCTTTCTGAAATCTATTATCGAATGGTTTCAGAGCCACTTTTTCACACTTACTGATGTAGGTCTAACACTTTTTGTATGTGTAAAATGTTGTATTAAATTGTCTAAAATGCCCTGCTTACAAATTTTAATCCTTGGACTATGGTAGCATCCTTCCACTCTTTAACAACAACAACAAAATTCTCATCCTAGCATATGTGTTGCTCAAACCAAAGTAGTCCAACAAATATGAATGAAGTATAGTAGTATCTTCATTTTCTATCTTCACACTATATTCTCATCCTACTTGTGCAGTTACACAAACTGAACTTGTGAACTCTCTCTAACCACCCCCTTCCCAACTCAGATGGATATCCAGAGTCCTGCATTTCAGTAAACAACATATACCACCATAAATATATAGTATATATAGTAGGATGTAAAAGTCTACTATCTACACCATAGTAAGAAATTTGCAATTTACTCTGATTGAAATGCAAGACATCAGAGAGTTTTAATAAAGGAGGTGGTGCTATTTTATTTCTCTTTTAAATAGAATCACTCAAGGGTAGCCTTTTAAAGAATAATATCTGAGTTTCTGGATTGAATAATAGAAAGAATAGAAGATCATGAAGCTTTAAAACTTTCATTTGGGTCTCTTTTGTAGCCTTGGTCTCTTGGTTCCCTCCTGGAACCAAGCTTTCACACTCTGAGAAGACCAGGCCATGTGATTAGGTCACCGGAGGCCACAATTTATGAACCACATCAGCTGACAGCCAAGTAATTGAGCCATCATAGATGTCTAGCCCAGTTAAGCCTTCAGATGACTACAGCTTCAGCAAAAATTAGACAGCAATTACACTTGAGCATGATTAAGAACCACCAAATTAAACTCAGTTAACCCACAGAATGAGGAGAGAGAACATAAAATTTTGTTTTATGCCAATAAATTGCTTAGTGGTTTTTTTTTAATGCAGCAATAAATAACCAGAAAAATCACCCTTCACCAAAATTTCAAGACCATGCAGTATTTTTCAGCCAAGTACTGTATGTATTTAAATATCGTCATTAAATTATTATTTCTACATTGCTTCTTATTTGTGTGCAGATCCTCATAAACAAGAGATCCGGTCCTTGCTCTTTTACTCATATTGCAAGGAGAGGTGAAGCATGTTGGTGTACAGACATATCCTTGTTTTGAAGCATCCAATATTGCCCCCACCCAAGATTTTTGAGCCATAGACCACCTACCAAGAGAGAGATCCCTTTAGTCAAAGTTAGGCCTGACATGACACTGTATGACATAGATCTGAAGATCCTCAGAGGCTTCATGTTAAACATGTGAGATTTCACAATGTAAAAAAATTCTACTTGTTACAAGCATTACATAACTTTATGTTAAAGCCAAGAGATGTACCTCTAGAGATTGATTTATGATGGGTTTCATGTCTGTAAAGTTAGAAAAAGCTAAACCACACAAGAAGCTTTCAGAGAACACGAAACAAGAAGTCATGTGTGGACCTAAGGAGGAAGGCTGGAGTGCAAATTTCCAAGATGTTGCCTCTCTATAAAAACAGTGAAAACACTGGGAAAAAAATTGTCAGAATCAACTTTTTCAAAACCCTGGAAATAATCAAAGGCCTGCAACAATCCAAGAAGCATTTTATTAAAACAAACTGCCAAATCTTGGTAAGACTCTTTGACTCACTCTATTTCCATCGCTCTCTTCACAGCTTGCAGAAAAATTGAGAACCAGTGGCTCCTCCATCATGGTGAAAAGCAGCAGCCTAGCAGCCCCTGCAGGTGGCAAAACAGATTTGGAGCTCTCCAAAATCATTATTTTCAGAGAATTGTCATTATTTGACCCATCTGGCAGTTATCAGGAAACTTCCTGCATATGGCTTGTTTTTATTTGACCGAAATCACAGCTCGGTCAGGGCAAACAGCCTTTCCTCTAAAGACATTTGTCAAAAACACTAAGCAGAAATTGCTTAATGTTTGGAGCTGTATGTGGCAGTGATGATACTTGTGGCAATATTTTTTTTAAAAAGCTGACCAAAAAAATGTAAAAATAAAGCCTAAGGAATGAGGTGTTAAGGGTTTTGCAAAGCTCTGACATATTCCTGGAAATCTTAGAAGGCCACACATAAGCAGAGGACTGGACACAGGCCCAGGGATGTTTACATACCCAGAAAAGCAGAAAGAAGATCCCAAGTGCTCACTTCTGGTTGAACTTGAGGCTCTATGCAAGCAGGAAATAAAGGTTGTGGCAGAGTTGGAAGCTACCTGCCAGAGCATTGCTGGTGTGCCACAACATGCAGACAGACACACAGCAATGACTAAAGGACTTATTGATTCTCAAAGTTTAAGAGGGAAAACGACAAATTGGATTTATCATAATTGAATAATTTAAAATTTCTTCTCTTCAGATAATGAAAAACAAATCACGGACTGGAAGAAAATATTTTCAAATGATAAAGAGCGTGTATGTAGAATATATAAACAATACTCAACACTTAATAAGAGAACAAACAATCCAATACTACAAGGACGAAAAAAAATGTAAGCAGGCACTTCAGTAAATACATATAGATGACACATAAGTGTATTAAATGATGCTCAATATTATTATCCATTAAAAAAAAACAAAGTAAAACTACAGTAAGATTCTACTACAACTATTAAAATGGCTAAAGTAATGTCAGGGTTGGTTTTTTGAGGGGTGTTGCCCTGGTTCCTTGGTTCGTGGCTGAGAAGAATCACAAACTGGGCTGGTGAGATGGAGAGATGACAGACAGCACAGAAATAAAAAGTGAAAGGACATTTCCTGAGGGGAAATGGGACCATCTCAGCAAGTGGAGAAGACACTGGGGTCTTAACCACACTTCTACTTTTGTGTCTATACCTTTCCATATGCTAAACAGTGGGTGGAATATTCATTATTTTCCTGGGAATAGAGTGGAGAGTTCTTAGAGCTAAGGGCCTCCCCACTTTTATCCTTATAGGGTAACTTGCAGGAGTTGCCATGACAATTGTAAATTTTCATGGTGCTAGTGAGTATGATTTTTACTATGCCAATGTATGTTAATAGGAAAAACATTACCTCTGGACATAAGCTCCTAGTTTCTGTTCATGCTCCTGGCCAGGAAAAGTCCCTAACCTCAAGTTCCTGCCATTGAGGGTTAGGTTCTAAATGCTCATTGGCATCCTTATCTTTGCCCCTCTCCTCTTTTCCTATGGTTGGCACTGCCAACCTGCACCTGTCCCTAACAGTAATGATTAATTAATTAAGCTGACAATACCAAGTCGAGCAAATGCAACTCTTATATATTGCTGATGCAAATGCAAAATGACACACCTGTTTTAGAATAGTTTGGCAGGTTTTTACACAGCTAAGCATATGTTTAATATCTGACCCATCAATCTCACTCCAGGGTACCTACCCAAGTGAAATGAAAACATATATCTTCACACAAAAAATTGTACACACATGTTGATAGAAGCTTTATGCATAATCACCAGAGTATAGAATGGCCTAAATATCATTGAGCTAAAGAATGAAAAAGCAAACTGTGGTGTATTCATATAGTGGCATGCTACTGAGCAACAAAAATAAATGAATTATTATTGATACATACAAAAACATGGGTCAATTTCAAATGTGTTTTGCTGTGATGAAGACAGATTCAAGCTTTATTTATTGTAGAATTACATTTATAGGACATTCTTGAAATGGCAAACTAGAGCTACAGGACACAGATCAGTGTTTGCCAGGGGCTAGGGATAGGGGCAGCGGTTGACTACGAATGGCTATGGGGAAGTTTTGGAGAGTGATGCAACCATTCTGTTTTTTGATTTTGGTGGTGGTTACACTATTATATGCATTTGTCAAAACTCACTGAATTTTGTTGTATTTAAATTATACCATAATAAAAAAATTGAAGAAAACAGCACCATCATCTGTCACCAACATCTTTGGTGTGGTGGGAGGATGGTGGAATATTACTGAATTCAGTTTTTGTTCCATAATATTGAAAGATAAGACTTTGATATAGCATATAAATGTTAAAAATAATAATTCCACTTTTAGTGATTACTGGGTACATGCCATGGAAATAGATAACTCTAATAGCTGGTCTTATGCATTCTGTAAAGAAGTATCTGTTTTCCAAAACTACTTTCCAAGTTGACCAAATTAAGTAGAATTTTACATATTTGAATCATTGTTACAGCAGTGAAGGAGAATATCTAACCATGTTTTCCACAGAAGGGACAATGTTTGTTTGGTAGATAATTTTTAAATGTATTTCTTTTGCTACTGTTAGCATTCGTTATAATAATTCTCTTCTAAAGTCTTTGAATGTTTTTCCAAGTACTCAGAGCTTCTTGCTTACTGGTACTTCAACCCACTGAGATCATTCTTGAAGTCCAAGTGCCACAGTAATGCTCATGCATAATTTTTACAGCTGCCCTTTCCATTTTAACATAAAAAGATGTTTATATTCTTCTCACATATATTATCATTGAAGTGGAAGCCCTTTCATGTTTTCTTATGATATCATCACTAAGGAGAACCCTGTCTCTCAAATAAAAAAATATATGTGGATTACTTCTTGTCACTTAACTAGAAATAAGATGGTATTTATTTATTTATTTGGCGTCTTTGCTTCTGCTTCTTTTATTTCCTCTCTGTCCTCCACCTCACCTATTTAACTTGTGACTTAATAATGGCACTAGATTATGCGATCACGTGACTCTGTCTGCAGGTGCTACTGGTTGGCCATTTGATATCAGGTCTATTCTGTCCCTCTGTCTATCCATTTGGATTCACAAAACTTAACACGTTAAAGCACATGCAAGCAGTTACTTTCAATTTAAAAACTATTCCATTTGGATAAGATGTTTTTGCTGTTTGATGTAATCATTTAATGCACACGTATCATTGCCAAACATTCCAGATGCTGAAGCTACTTCTGCCTCACCTTGTTTTCAAAGGATTTAAGATGCACAATGTAAGGTGGTATGAATTATTAATGCATGTAAAAGTGAAAAAAGAAAGACCAACAGTGGAGAAATAAAGTAGAGCAAAGTATTTTTATCCACAGATTCATTGCTGTGCTAGGCATCTTTGCACTTTATCGATACCTAGTTCACCCTACTGAGCACAAAGGAAGATTGTCCTATGTCCTTGAGGATTGGGCATGGCCAGGAAACTAACCCTTGCTAATATAATGTGAATATAAGGGCTGTATTCCAAGTAGAAGCATGTAGAAGTTAGTGTATAATTCTCCTTCTTTTCTCTTTTTATTGCCACAGAGATAATCAGAGCCCTTATTATTATAATAATATGGAGGTGTCATGAAATCAAAGCCACTTGGAATGCTGGGTCACCACATGAAGGAATGCTGCCCTAGAGAGACTCATCAATGAACTTTTCATGAGCTAGAAATATCTTCTTAAATAAACTACGGAAATTTGGGGATTGTTTGTTACTAAAGTATAAGTAGAACCAACTAGATAAATACAAACATGTTTATGAGTGGATCATAAGCATTGCTCTAAAATGTCTAGCAGCCAGGCAAACCTTATCAATAACATTATTTTTAGGCTTTACGATTGAAGGGAAACATTTCTCAAGTGAAGTATATCTATTCATAATACTAAGACTAGCAGAAATCACTCCTAAGATTCTCATAAAAATCAACATTTTGTGCTATAATGAATAAGAATCATGATATCCATTATTTTTTTCTATTTTTCAAAAACTATGCTAAACAATTTATTTGTTGTATTATTATACTTAATCCTTACAGAATCACATTGCAGAGTGCACTATTATTATCTACAATTTAAGGATATGGAAAATGAGACAGACAGATTGAGAATTTTGCCCCAAATCAGGCAGCTATTAAGTGGGTACAGAAGTAAACTTTACATGCTACTTCTCTTAAGAAAATTTAAATAGAAAATTATATTAGTTTCCACTTTAATCAAGGAAAATACAAATGAGAAAAAGTGAGTGTCCCTTTAAGCATGAAATCAACTTAATTAATGAGAAACTGTAAAATATATCATGTGGGTTTATAAAAGCAGTGTTGTTCAGGTTCTGTATTATAAAACACTCCTCTTTGATGATAAGAAGAGCTAAGGATATAAAGTACTCAAGACACAGGTTGTTAAATAATGAATTCATCTACTAACTAATCAGAGCAGATAGGAAAGTAAAACTAAACTTTTTTTTCTTCATTCTCTATATGGCAAATTTCATCTATTGCATTTTCTGTCATTCTGTTAAAAATATTAAACATGTCTTATCAACATTTACTAAAACAGGTGCCTCTTTAATATTATTTAAGTGTAAGAGAATATTTGTATAATCAAAAGTGTTTTTATAGAAACATTAGTTTATATTATTTTTAAAATTAATATATATGACACAATTTATCCATTCTTTCTCTTCTCTTCAAAAACAGAGAATGCTTTATCTTTCTCAAATGACTGACTTTACTTATTATCTGCTTTTGCAAACAATTAAAAGATATATTATGTCATTTAAAATATTAAAGTTCTTTGACAGTTTTTAACTCTAAGAAAATGCAAAACTTTCAACAGATCTTTTTGACTCAGAGTGCGTGTGCTTTTAACCAACAAGAATTACCTACTTGTAATTTGGAGATATGAGAACATTTCCAAGTATGCACTTTGCTTCATTGTCTTTGCAGAATACAGATATTCTCCAGCTTCCAGTGGTTCAAATTACAATTTTTCAACTTTACGATGGTGTGAAAGTGATACACATTCAGTGGACAGCTTA